CCGCTGCCTCCCTCACCCTCCGCAACTCCTAGGCTCTAACCCTCGCCGACCAAACCTCCCCCCCCCCGCCGCAACTCGCCGGTCTTAACCCCCCCACCCCACCCCGCCCCACCGCCCCTACAACTACCCAGCTCTCCTCGCTTCTCCGCTCTCTCTCCCAACAACTACCCCCGGTACAAGTCCCTCTACCGCAGACAATACCCAGACCCCCTCGTCTCCCCACAACTATCTGCCCACCCCTCCAACAATCACCGGGCTATCTCCGGCGGCAACTACCGGGAGCTCCGGCACCGCCGCCACAAACTCCCCCACCTCGGCGAACTACCGGGCTCCTCACTCACTCCTCTTCTACATCCTCCCTCCTCAACAACTCCCCAGCCCCCGATTCTTCCAACCTCACAGGTTCAGGGCCCCAACCTGCCGGAGGCCCTTTCGGCCCCTAACCCCCGAAGCTCCAGATTTCCAGTTCCCAGTCCCCCCCGCCCCAACACACACTGTCTGATCTCCAACTACCCCAGCCCGGTCTCCCACTCCTCTTTCTCCAAGGTCTCTCAACTCATCGCTCTGCCACCTCCAGGGGCAGGCCTCGACCCCCTCCCCGTGTTCCCTCGCCGGGCCCCGGGGCTCGACCTCCAAGTTTGCCAATTGATTCCTCGCCTGCCTCCCGCTGGCTCAGCGCTCCGTGTTGGTCGAGAGCTCACCTTCGGGACTGGGCTCCGCCATGGCTTCCAGCATCGCCCCCTCCCCTCCTCCCGGTCCGGCACCCCCCTCCCCTGAGCCGGGAATCCCGGTGCCGCCTCCGGTGCTCGGTGCTCCTACTGCCTCGCTCCACAGAGGTGTCTCCCTCGGCCCGGTTGTGACTCGAGTCCGCTAGCCGCTGCCGCCACCTCCCTCTACCACTGCCTCCCGCACTCCCGGACCGGGCCCCCTCCCCCCGCGCCGCCGGCCGCCTGCTCCCTCCTCCTCCTCCTCCCTCCTCCCTCCCTCCTCCCTCCCTCCTCTTCTCTTCCCCCCTCCCTTCGCGGGCGCCGACGCGCAGTGCATCAAGGGGCTTGTAGTCCGTCCAGGGGCAGCGGAAAGGGGACTGCATAAGTCCCTGGAACTTCAGTTCCCAGCAAGCCAGGGATTCGCGCAGGCGCACTAAACCGCTCCCCTCCCCCGGGGAGTGGCGGGGAGATTGGGAGCAGAGGGTAGAGCGGAAGAACGCGCGGAGACTCCTGGGAAATGTAGGCTGGGCGGAACTAAGAAAGAAGGGGAAGAAGGGATTAAAACTCTCGGCCACCATACTGCCTCGTTCTGCAGTTTCTTTCTTCCTCGGGGGACCGCCCCACTTCCGGCCAGAAGGAGAAGCGGTTGCTGGGAAATGAAGTTCTCCTGGTGGTGATGGCTTACCTCCTCCCAGTCCTCTCTCCCTCCCTTAGATTCCACTCCACTCGATCCCACAGGCCGGCACAAAGTCTGGCCAAGTGACATGCGACTGAGGACAGAGTCCTTTTACCATCTCCCACACACGAAAATCTCTGCCTTAATCCAAAAGGTTATTAAAAACTTGGATGTGTTTATCTAAAGCAGGTACTTTTACCACACAAACCCACAGTAAAAAACTTTTTTTTTTTACCAAGACCCAATACACACGTATGTAAAACTGAAGTTTCATGAAAGAATACTCAAGAGTATTCCATCCATCACAACAAAAGCACCGTATTTATACACAAAAAAAAGACCATCATCAACAGAATAAACCAAAATTATGACCATCCCTCCAATCTCTTTCCCCACCACTGAGAACTAAAAAACAAAAGGGGAGGGGAGCAACACAAAGCAAAATCCAGTTCAGCTTGGTGGTTTCCTCTTTATTGATGTGCCTCCTACCTTCCCCCCACAATTCAGTCCCTTCCATCTACCCACAAAAAAGAAGGTAGTGAAAGGAAGGGATTGTTGGGGTTCTGAGCCCCTTGGGCAGTTAGAAAGGGAACAGAAACCAAAACAATCACTGGATGTGATAGAGATTGACAATCAAGAAGTTTAAAGCAGAGTGGAAAAGGTGGTAGAGAAAGGGGAAGAAAGGAGAAAGGAGAGGTACTAGAGGCCATCTCCCCCATCAACCCTCCTGCTAAGACGGGCTGGAGGAGAGCCTCAAACATTAGGAAGTGCAGGTCCTGAGGAAGGGAGGTGGTGTTTGAGCCTGGAGGAGGAAAAGTAGTTCAAGGAAGGGAGGCCACCTCTCTCTTTGTAGAATGGGACCCCCCAGCTCAGGGGCAGCAGCTTCACAGACCGTAGACACTTTCATCACTGTAGGCAATGTATAGAAAGAAGTCTTCTTCATGGTGTTCCTGGGGTAAAAGCAGAAAATTATGGTGCTCAGGCAGCTCAGCTTTACTTGAACCACCCACCGCCCAGACACATTCTTCAAAACCACTCTTTTTGAAGACTCCAAAAACCAGTGCCTTGACTCTTTCCCTCACTCCAGACCCTAGGGGCGACCAGTATTATCTCTAGCAGGAGTCCTGGGCAAAAAGATCTCAACCTGTTCTCTGCCGCCTTGGAATGAGAAAGGGACTGGGAAGAGTCCAGATCAGAACAGGTGCTCCAGCTCACTATTCTCTCCCTTCTCTCCCACTGCCCTGTCCGAACCCACACCCAGGACTATCTGGAAGTTTTAAGGCCAAAGATAAAATTGAGAGCTAATAAGCAAAACAGCTAATCCAAAAATTGCTGACCTAAAACTTTCTTCCCCTCAAGATCTTCCAACTCCTCTCCAAAGCCTCCACTACTTCCCAACCACCATACCTGGTATAGCTGACCCATCGTGGCACTGGTGGGTGGAATGACATTGTTAACAAAGAAGAACAAGGCATCCTCAGCTCGGAGATGAATTCGCTTCCGGATCAAGAAGTAGAACTGACCAACTGACAAAGATACAAAGTTACAGAGATCACAAATGCCCTCAAAGAACAGCTGCTATATATGGAGCTTCCTCCCACAGAGACTGCGCTCCCACCCACAGGAAGCAAACCTGAGTATTGGGTCAGGTTCCCACCTGTGAGATCAGAAGGCACCAGGTATTTCTTTTTGTCCAGGTCCCCTATCCGAGCTTTGGGAGCCTTTTCTACTATCACCTGATAAAGAGAAGAGACAAATTAGGAAACACGAGGTATACAGCCCCACAGCTCCACCCGTCAAGAACTCAAGCAACAACATTCCCAACACCCTAACCTACCCTAGACTCATTTCTCTTTGTCTGTGAACACGCGGTGCAGCCCTGAGTAGAGAGCCTCACCTCACTGACTGGAACTCACCTAAACATCCAGGATCCCTGAAGAGGGCGTCATAATAAACAACTATCTTAATCAGATGAGGATGACGAGTCTGGGCCCACTAGAGCTTCAATCTCAAAGACCCAGCTAACTAGGGGCAATGACCATGTGAAGCTCAGCCTGTCAAACTCCCTAAAGCCTCCCACAAGGTTGGTCTCTCCACCTACATCCCCTCGCCCCCAGCTCTACTGCTACCCTACTCCTTTCACCTGTAGTCCCAGAGACAGCAGTTTCGGGCTCGTTCCCAACCCAGAAACAGCCGTCAGCCTGATGCCCGCGCTGCTCGTCGCGGACCCAAGCCCAGGCTGTGGCTGTGGCGTCAGCGCCAGCGCCCCGCGCCCTCGGCCCTGGCTACTGTCCTCACCGGGACCCGGTCTGGATATTTCTTTCGGATCTTCTCGCCCTCAGAGCGGCGCTTCTCGAACGGATGCTCCTCTTTATACACGAACTTCATCCTCCCGGGAACCGGGCTGAACCGGGCTGGGCTGAGGGAACCCGGGGGGGCCGGGACAGGGGGCGGCGGCGACAGCGGCAGCGACGCGCGGGCGGATTCCGCGGAGCGATCCCGGGACTTGCGCCACTTCCCTATTCACCAACCCCGCCCCCGACCATCAGGTGCCGCCCTGCCTGCTATGTTACGCCACCAGCGCAGCGGCCCTAACGGCGATAGCGTAGCACCACCTATTGACCGCCCCCCTCACGCCATCAGCGTAATCGCTTTGGAATCAACTTGCGGGCTACGCAGGCGACGTAGCAAAGGTGGTCGGTTTTTGCTGTCGTCGAAAGTAACTGAAAACCCATCTCCCGACCTTCCCCCCACGAAGTCGGGGAGGAAACAGGCTAAGAGGTGGTAATCATAATCTGAGGCCAGGTTCTCCAAAAGTTCTTTTCGGAAAAAAAGAGCAGAGATAATTACAAGGATAGCTATTCACGAAACGTGTTGGTACGCTGAAGGCGGCCGTTGACACCAAAACAAAGTAGTACCCAAGTAGAGGAGATGGTCTCCGGAAATTAAGGAGGACAGAAACGGAATATATGTTAGGAGAGACGCACAGAACGCTTAGGGCCCAAGAACGAGCGGACCAATAGGGACCGGAGAGGAGGTCCAAAATGTAGGGACTACGTCAGCGCGGAAGAACACTTCAGTATTTGTAACAAATCATGTGATCTCAGAGAAGGGCGGAGCGTCACGTGGCGGGTGCGAGGAAGAAGAGCCGGCTTCGGCAGGAGGGCGCTGGTGGGTGGAGCCGGCGGGACAGGAGCAGGGAGAGCGGAGGGACTGGGCGCTCGCCGCCTGGGGGCAGTGCCCACTTGGCTGGCCCACGTCAGTCCCCCAGGCGAAGCCCGGCCTCGCTCCAGCTACATGCCATTTCTGGCGACCAGGTTTCTCCTCTTTTCACGCCTCTGTGTCCTACTGCTCTAAAGCTCAAGTTCCCTCAGGACACACAGCTGTCCCTTCACTCCCCGCCAGGCCACCCATCCTGTCTGTCACTAAGACCTTTCCCGCCAAAGCACCGATATTGATGTTAACTCTTCCATCCCCGCAAAGCCAGCACCACCTTTCCTCCTACCCCTCTTGGGCCCAACAGCAATCTCTTTCCCCTCTGCCTACGGGACAGGGTGGATGTGAACAAAGACTCCTCCCCTCGTTTCCCAAAACCCCAGAGAAGGACCTAGGGCAGCTTTGGTTTCAAAGTTATAATGCATGGTTTAAAAGAGAGGAAAGAAAAAAAGAGAAAGCTGGTTACAGATCTGAGGGAATCTAGGAAGAAGGGAAAATAGAGGGAAAGTAAGGGGGGAACAAGTTTGGGGAAAATTCAGTGGCCCAAAATCCCAGTTTCCCACCCACAACCCAGCCCTTGGAGTGAAGAATTAGATCACTTTTGTACAAGAGTTTTTAAAAAATCAAATCACAACAAAGCTGGCTTGGCTTCTCTTTGAGCCTCCTGGATTACCGAATGTCTGTCTCTCATTCTGGCCAGTCCTGTCTCTCCACCACAGACACTGTTTCGGCTCTCCTAGGCCTCCGCTTATGTTCCCAGTCTGGGGTTTCCAGGGAGTGCGAACACGAAGTTAGAGTGAGGCTGCTTCAGAGTCTGGCCCATGTGTCCATCCAAACTCCATAGGGAGTGCAGGGCTCCCAGGGCAGAGAGGGGTGGGAGGGGCAGACCTTGCCCAGGCAGTCCTCACCATTGGACAGGGCATGAGACGGCATCCCGAGGGCTCACCCTCCCTTTCCCCCCCACCCCAACTCAGGTGGAGGGGGAGCAGCTGTCACCAGAGCCTATGTTGGTGAAGGTTTCGGCTCAGCACAGAACGAACATCAGCGGTGAACCTGGGATGACAATAACTTGCATTGGTAGAGTCCTTATAGTTGACATCTTCACAACACTAGTGTAAGGCAGCCTCATTGGAGACGTGGGGCAGAAAGCATCATTTTCACATGAGACTGAGGTTCAGTTTGCCCAAAATTCAGTGGCTAAAAGTGATAAGCTTTAGTGTAAGAAGACCTGGGTTCAAATGCTAAGTTTTTAAGGGAAGAGAGATAAGTAAGTAAAACAGGACAAACTTTTATTCCCTCTTGGGATCTCCCACCTCCTCCTTTCTTCCGAAATCTAAATGTCTAGCTTCCCTTACCTGAGGGCATCCAGCATCGGAAGCAGGTTGAGAAGGGCGGTGTCACTGGGGTCACTGAACCAGGATTTGATGGGGATGGCATTGTCTAGGTTGGGTGAAAATACACATGAGAAGAAACAAAGGATTCAAGACAGACAGGGTATTTTTTATTTTATTTGGGGATAGGGATCATTACTTTAAAATACATACCTCATCACACCCCCACCCCCCACCCAAACTCAATAACCTAAGTAAACTTTCCTGATTTAACCTCCAAAATCACCATATCTTATACTAGTGTGAGGCTTCTAGCAAAACTTATTGCCATTGTGTCTCACTGGAAGCAAGTTTGTTGTAAGAAAACTGATGTAGGAAATGGACATCAGGGGGGTGGGAAGAGTCTTATTTAACAGAGAAATAACTTACATCCTGACCTACAGTAAACCAGGGAATCCCAGCTCTATGCATTCAAATACCTCCTCAGAATCATTTTCTGGTCCTGCCAGACTCACCACCTTCCCCCATACCTGGATGGCTCCTGTAAGCCCCTGGAGAGTTATCTAGGATCACAATGCTGGAGAGGTCACTGTGGACCACAGAGAGGTCCTTGATGTAGCTGCCCAATTCCAAAGTGCAGTGCTGGAAGGCAGGGTGAGCTGGGCATCAGAAAGAGACTTGCCCTTTCTGATTGCTCCCCCAATCCCAACAACGCCCGTGGGCAGCCAACTCCCACAAAAGGGATCATACAGTACACCTCCCCCTCACCCCCAGAAGGTCTCATTCCAGGGCAATTGCCTCAAACTTGGATCCCACCCTGGTGGCCTGCCTCCCAAGCCTTACTCTTAGACCAGGATTCGAGCCCCTTACCTGTCTGTAGTATCTCCTCTTGAGAATGCTTCTGCTATTGTCCAGTTTATCTGCCACAGCAGAGCCATAAATCTCCATGCTTGCTGTGAACACCACCAGCTCATACCACTGGCTCACCTGAAATGGATCACAGGAGAGGTGTCAGAAGAGGTGATCATTCATTTAGACATACAGTTTCCTTTCACTAGGACTCCAGTCTAGTCCTTTAGGCCTCTCAGCAACATCAAATGTCTCTGGGGACATAAAATTCTGAACGCCCCCAAACTCAGAATCTTAGGTACCATACACCCTTAAGATTCAGAGATGCGAGAACAAAAAGGCAGGAAGCTTGTGGAAGAAAAGAATTACATCAACACAACAAATGAACCCAAACTATTAAAAGCCGTTCTCTAATCATCCCACAACCTCCCCTCTCCAAAACTGCCTTTACTCATTTCTCCTCACCCCTTTCTTCCTCCAAATCCTCTAAATTCCCAGAGTCCTAAAACCATTCCTTCATCACAGAGCTCCCTTTAGCTTCCGCAAACTCACCACTTCTAAGAAGAAATCCACATGGGGCCTCTTATGTACAAAAAACCGGACTGGATGTTTGTCTATTACCACCTGTAGAGGAACAGGGACGGGCTGGAACAAGTCCTGAGCACCACAACACAGGCACCTCCCCCAAAAGACACTCCCCCCCCCCCCCCTTAGGCTCATGCTAGTGCCGGGGGATGGGGACAGGGACAAGACTCTCTGGGACTGGAAAAGGGAGTCCAGGTCTGAGCAGAATAATCATTCCATCACTTCCCATACCCACACACCTTGAGGATGAAGTCAGGAGGCGTTCCAGGCCGGACTGTGGGCCTCAGGACCCCATCATGATGGGAGTGAATAAGTGTCTCATCCAGATCCAGCACAAGGATCTTCCTCTTCACCTGGCCTGAACCACAACGGGAAAGGATAATACCAACCAACCTCTAGCCCACACTTTGAACTCTATTACCCTACCTTAAAGCAGTCTTCCCAGCCAGCATACTCACCTAGCCGATTCCGGGACACAGGAGATAAGGGAAGGATATCATATCGAACAGTTTGGTACTGAATTACCTAAGAGTAACAAGAGAGGATTAGAACTCTTGACAAGGAAATCTTCCCCAGTAACAATAATAGGTAGCACGTATTGAACGTTTACCATATGCCCGGCACCATGTAAGTGATTTAAGATTATTTCATTTAATCCTCAAAATAACCCCAACACTAATAATAATAATAATACTTGTTTTAAGAATAAAGAGGGGCCGGCCCCGTGGCCGAGTGGTTAAGTTCGTGCGCTCTGCTTCGGGGGCCCAGGGTTTTGCCGGTTCAGATCCTGGGTGCAGACATGGCACCACTCATCCAGCCATGCTGAGGCGGCATCCCACATGCCACAGCTAGAAGAACCCACAACTAAAAATATACCACTGTGTACTGGGGGGCTTTGGGGAGAAAAAGGAAAAATAAAATCTTTAAAAACAAAAAAAGAATGAAGAAACCAAGACTTGGAGAGATTAAATACCTTGCCTAAGGCCTCAGAGCTAGGAATTACCTTATTTAGTTGTTTGTTCCCCCCCCCCCCTTAGAATAAAAATTCCATGAGAACATGGATTTTGTCTCCATCATGGCTGTATTCTTAGAACACTGTAGCAGAGATGGTCAGTTAACATTAGAATTGATGGAGGATGGTGGAGCCAGGATTGGACCCATGCAGTACGACCCAAGAACTTCCCTCTTAACCATAGTATTAATTATCCTGCTACCCTGAACAAAGAAGTGTATGGCCCTCCCCACTTCCACCCCAAGGATCCTTTGTGCCAACTCCCATCACTTCCCCTTGGGAACTGAGAGCCTGAGATTCCTTAGTGGACAAGGAGTAGGAGTCAGGAGGGGAGGTCCTTGGCTCCCTAAGAGGAATAGAGGATGAGGGAATCCAGAGGTTGTCAAGTCAGCTAAGTTCCTTTGGCTGGGGGCCACCAGGCCTATTTTAACCAGCCACCTGTCCATTTCTGTCTCTACTAGCCAAGTCACAAGTTGCAGAGAACCTCAGCCCTCTGAACAGCCTCCTTATCCTGGAACCCAGGGCAAGGCAGAGAACACTGGAAAGCCCCGCCCACCAGGCAGATTGATAGGGTATCAAGAAGGCCAGATTGAAGGGCTGAGTGAGAGGTAAGAAAGGGACAAGGATGTCACCACCTCAGCCTTCCAGTTTCTCCAAGCCTTCTCTAGAGGCTCCTATTTCTAACACTCGGACCTCCCCCATGCAAAAGATGACAATTCATTCCTCTGCTCATCTAAGGCACAGACAAAGGCTCTTCAGTCCATCCCTAGACCCCAAGCCTCACCTAAACCAGACTCCTTGCAAACCAAACGGCCCTCTCCCCCGAATCCCAAGGCATCTGCCCTTCTTTTCTCCCTGGGCCATGATGAGAGCTGCAACAGCTCGGGTGTCCTGCCCTGCTATCTCGGGTTGCACATGCTGGGCATGTAGGGAATGCTCCAAGCAACTGCCAGAAAGGGGGTGGGAGGAGAAACCAGATTGGAAGGGAAGGGAAGACAAAAGGCTGTGGGGTCTAGTGCTGCCCAGAGGAGAGCAATTTTGCAAGTAACTAGCCTCTGGATGGACTGGAGCACTAGTCCCTGCACCCAGAATAGAAAACATGTTAGGGGGAGAAGAGGGGATGCTCGGAGCAAGACCAGGCAGAGAGGGTGGCAGCTAACATGTAAAGAAAACCCCAGGAGCTAACCGCACACACATCTCAGCACCTCTGACCCCCAATTCTTCTTGGCTCCTAACTCCTGTCTTAGGGAAATAGCCCTGCCCACAATAATGACCACCCAGAATAATCCTCACCCTAAATCAGGAAGTGGAAGGAGCAGACTGGTAAAGGAGAGACTGAATCCAAGTCCAAGCCCATTCCTCCAAATCAACAAGTCAACCACCACTACCACCCAGGGCTTTCTGGAAATTCCATGACCTAGGCAGCCCCGACCTGGTTTTATTCTTTCAAGTTTTACTGAGGTATGTCAAAGACTACAGACCACAGAACCTCTGCACCCCAACTCACTGAATTCTCCCCAAACTCCTTTGGAGTATTCTCCCCAGTGGGGATGAGAACATAAAAGCACATTTGTTAAATGATGTTAGCCTAAGGAGCTTTGACCTTGGAGAAAAGCTATGAGGGAGGGAACCCGCAGATATTTGGGTACAACCACACAGTCTCCACTCCCCATAGTATCCTTCACAATGCTAGGGTCTCCTGGAGAAACAAGCGTGCCCTCAGATCCAAGCCCTACAATGACAAGCACCGTCTTCTCATGGGGACATCCAAACTTTAATGTGCTCCCTTCCACAACTAAAGCAGCCCATATCATAAATGCATCTTTTTTAGTCCGGGGTCTCAATAAATCCAGATACTAACACTATGAAATAAGTTTTCAGGGATTTTTTGGAGTAGTTCCCTTAATGCCAACCGCAGGGGTTTCTTCTTCACAGAGCTTTTCCCAAGTTCCCATCCTTGTTTGCCACATATGCCCTCCCACCCGCCCCCACCCTTGACACATAAGCCGGTCTCTCCCTTGTTATAAGACCAAACACACACGGAGGTTCCGAATACCAGGAGGGTCTTTCATAAACCCACATCAACAGATTTGCTGCCATCAAACAGGTGTTCCCCGCCTCTCGGTTTCTTTAGCAACAACTCTAGCTTTCTTACAGAGCGCCCCACCCACCACCTTAGCCCCCAAGAGTTGCCAAATCCTGTCCCCGGCTAGCCACCCCCATCTCGGTTCTACTACAAGGGTCTTTTTCCACCCCATGTCCAGCTAACCGTGTCCTAATTCTCTAATAGGAGAAGCTGCCGGCAGGACTCCGTTCCTAGGCCCAAACAGAGGCCCGACACTTTCCGAAAACCCGTGAGCACCGCTCGCAGAGGTCCCCACCACCACAAGCGCCCACTCAGGCTCACCGTGCGGATCTGCCTCCGCAAAAGGTAAATGAAGAAGCTCCAGAGCTTGGCGGCGAAGGCCACGAACGTGCGCAGCCCCAGCAGACACTGCGTCCGCATCATCCCGATGACCCCGGCACCGCCGGCCCCGGGGCCCCCGCGGCCCAGCTCCGCCAGCCCCCCGGGGGCAGCCCCCCGCCGCCGGGAGGGGGAATGGGGGCCCCGAGTGGCAAGAGAGGCTGCAGAGAGGGGCACGGAGCGGGCAGCTCAGAAAGCCACCCCGGGCGAGGGGAAAGCCCAGCAGAACCGGGAGCTGGGGGACAGGCGTGGGCAGCCCGCGGGAGCCCACATGGGCGGGGAGTGGCACCGACGGCTTCGCGGAGGCTGCGGGCCGAGACAGGTCGGGCTAGGATGGGGTCCTCCGAGACCAAGCGAGAAGGGGATGGAGAATTGGGGGAGGGGGTAGTGGGGGAGGGGGCTAGGGAGAAGGGAGGGAGGGAGAAGGAAGGGGGAGGGGAAGGGGGAAGCGGAGGGTGGCCCGCTGCGCAGGCGCGCTGGGGGGCTGCCCGCGGGAAAGGGGCGGGCGGGGGCAGCGGCGCGCGAAGGGCCTCGGAGGCGATGAACAGGCCGGCTGAGCGAAACAGCGGGGAAGGAGGGGGAGGGGGAGCCGAAGGACGCGGACGGCTGGACAGGAGCGGCCTCCCCCTCCCCGAGGTCGGGGGTGCCTTAGCCGCTGGGGAGCGGGGCTGCAGCCTCTACAGCTGGATTTCCCACTCTGACAGACGCCATTTTACCGCCCAAAGAGCTCCCTCCTCCTTTCTTCCCCCCTCCTCTTCCCCTCTGACACTACTTCCGGTGGTGACGTGTATTCGCTTCACCCAGACTAATGTTCCCCTTGCTCGGCCTATGGGGGCGGGGACAAGGAAAGTGGACTGTACCCCCAACAAGGCCGCAGTACCGCGCACGCGCGGAAGGTGGCAGTGGGGCGGGGCCAGGGGCGACGCAGACCCCGCCTTGAACGGCATGGGCGAGGCGGGGTGACATCACTTGCCACCCCGCCCAAGGCTCGGACCCGTCGGACGGGCTCGAGCGGCTTCCTCCCCCTCCCGCCGACAACTGCCCCAACGGCTCTTCCCGCCTAGTCGGGGTAAAAATGCAGAGAGGGGCGTCGTCCCTACGTGTGTGCGCCAGGGCTCAGGAGGGGCCCCTCCGCTTGAACACCCCTGGGATATTGCACATAATCACCTCTCATTCCAGACTCCGGCAGGTCTTAGCGGTGGGAGGAATCATGGATGCCCCGCCCCTTTCACCTGGAGGGGGCGGAGCAGCTGTCCGTGACGCCATCAGAGAGCGTCCGAAGAGGGGCCGAGCGCGAGTTGGAGATGTTGGAGTCGCTGTTGGCTCTTGGCGGCCTGGTTTTGCTGCGGGGTGAGAGCCACGGGCACAGGGGCTTCGGAGCCGGGCTGAGGGAGCGCAAGTGGAGAGGAAGGGCCATGGGTCACAGGCCAGGGGTGGAGGTCGCGACAGGTTCGTGAAGGCGGAAACATCAGTGTTCTCACGCTGTTCATCCCTCGCTCGCTCTCCCCAGACTCCGTGGAGTGGGAGGGGCGCAGTCTCTTGAAGGCGCTTATCAAGAAGTCTGCAGCCTGGTGAGTATCCTGCAGCGTCTCCTTGTCCTCCCCGGGAAGGGAGCCTGGGCTCCGCTCTGACACTCCCCCTCATCTCTGCCTCAGTGGAGAGCAAGTCCACATCCTGGGCTGTGAAGTGAGCGAGGAAGAGTTTCGTGAAGGTTTTGACTCACATGTCAACAGCCGGTAAGTACGAACTGGAAGAGATTTAATTAGATGGGGGACCTCTGTTGCTAAACAACTTCCCTTACAGCAATAGGCACAGAACCTCGTATGTATTAGCAACTACTTAAATATTCGTAGAATGAATGGATATGGATCTTTCAGGAGGCGAGAATTAGTAAGAGGAATGATGAGTGGTATCTGGAGAATCCGAAGCGGAGACCTTAGAAGTTGAGAGAAAAAGAGAGAGTAATAAAAGGCCGACAGTACAGGTTAGCACGAGAGGCTGAACTGAAGGGTAAGAATAAACATCTTCTGCCTTTTGAGTTATTCAAAATCTAGCGATGCTTAATCCAGACGTGAATTCCAAACTTGCATCAACACCAGCTGTAAGCTACTGAGAGACTTGTCCTATGGGCAGAGGGAACAGCTTATGCAAAATTAGGGAGGTGTGGAAGGCATACTTGTTCATGGGAGGTGGAAAAGCTCTCTGAGGTCAAACAGATAAAGAGGTACCTGATAGTAAAAGGTCTTACAGAACATGAAAAAGAGTTTAGATGTTATCCTAAAGGCAGGGGAGACACATCTTCAATTTGGGGAGGAGAGTGATAACATCATACCTGTTAGATTAGTCCAGGGTGGACCACGTGTGGAGAATGTGTTGGAAGGGGCAGCCTGGAGATAGGAAGACTAAGTGGGAAGGCTATTGCAGTAATCCAGGTTCACTCAGATGTATATGTACTGAGCACTAGTATATGTACGAACCAGGTGCTGTGCTGGGTACTGGAGATACAGCGGTGAATGAGGCAGACATGGCCCCTGCCCTAATGAATTTTAGAGAATAATGAAAGGAGATGACAGAGGGCTGCCTTAAGGCAGTGGCAGTAGAGATGAAAAGTTTAGGACAAACGTAAAAGGACTTTATCAGGTAGAATTTCCAGGACTTACAGACTGATGTGGTGTAGAGGAAAACATCCAGATCAGGAGGTCCCTGAACCCATCTAAGTTGCCTGGTTAAGAGAGATTACTTCCCAGTCTGGGTAGCTCAGTGGATAATAATAATAGTTTACATCTGTCTGTTGAGCCCTCATTTTGTGTCAGCCATTGTGATAGAGGTGGTGGTGTGTGTTCAGATGGCATTCACAAGAGAAGCAGAACATAGTTGTGTGGGAACAAGTTCTGCCACCATGAAGCTTTTCCAGGACTCCTAGCCCATGCCAGACTCCTTGTCCTGAAGTGGTATTTTACTTGTAGTTACTACCGCATGACTTAGTTCTTGACTTTCTCTAAGCTATTCTACAGGCAGGAACCATGTCTCATGTCCTCTCCTTTCTCTTTATCCATCCAAAGAATGATACACTTTCGGCACCACTCAGGAAATATTTGATAGTGATGATAGCTAACATTTGTCAAGTATTTAGTATCAAGTACTGTGCTAAATGTCAAGAAGTTGATATCCCTATTTTACAAATGAAGAAACTGAGTCTTAGATTAAGTGCTTTATGAGTTAGGTGACCTTGGGCAAGTAGCAAAGCCAAGCTTGGAGCTCAGTTGTCTGACACCAAACTCCGTGCTCTCAATCACTATATTCTACTTCTCAGTTATTACCTTTCACTAAAATTTAGAATATTAAATCAAGAAAACGGAGCCACATAGATCAGAGGATGAAGTTCAAGATTAGGGGGAGGGGGCAGTATTATGTTGTCTCCTGTTTTTCCTTATGCAGGCTGGTTTACCATGACCTCTTCAGAGACCCTCTCAACTGGTCAAAGACTGGGGAAGCCCTTCCTGAGGGGCCCCTGGGAGCCTTGAGAGCCATGTGCAGGAGGACAAATCCTGGTCCTGTCACCATTGCTCTGGATTCACTCAGCTGGCTGCTGCTTCACCTTCCCTGCACCACACTCTGCCAGACCCTGCATGCTCTGAGCCATCAGGACTCCTGCCCTGGTGAGACCCCTCCTTTGTTACTCCCCTCATACAGCTTCCCCTGCTGAGGCAAGTGCCCCTTTCCACCCTAAGAAAAGACATATCAGGGATCTCCAATTGGACCTTCTTTCATCTCTTCAACCTTTATTCTAGTTCTTGACTTCTCCATAATGCCATCCACCACTTTTTTTTCTTTTCCAAGTTCTTCCTTACTCATCCATTTTATTCATTCATTCAACAAACATTAAATATATACAATATGTCGGGTACAATTCTAGATAACGGAAAAATAAAGACTAACCATAGTCAGGTCCTTGCCTTCCACGAGCTCAAAGTCCCATTAAGGATACAGAAAGTAAAGAAGCAGTTACAAGATAGTCTGATAAGGGCTGTCATGATAAAGGAACATGCATAGAGTACCTTAAGGAAGGAACTGTCTTGAAGAGCAAGGGGTTAGTCAGGCAGATTTGGCCAGGCCAGGGGCACTGGGACTAGCCCTGAAGTACACTGTAGGTTCTAGAACGGGCTTTGGAGTCAGACACTCAGCTTTATATTAAGGTGCGTGATCTCTCAGTGTTTTAGTTTCCTCTGTAAAAGGGGGGGAGTTTGTAGTATTAGGATTAACCACTTGGAATTGCTGTTTTTGTAGGTCAGATATGGTCTTTTTTGTAGGTCACATGTCAAATGTCAGCAATTTCATATGATTCAACCTAAAAATTCTGACTTTTGTAAGGATTGAAACATTAAAGTGTTTAGTGCAGTGCCTGACGCTCTGTAAATGCTCCCGAAAAGGGAGGGAATCAAAGGCACTGACTGGGATCTTGGCAAGTTCCCATAACTGCAAGTAGTTCAGTGTGTAAGAATTGAGGCTGGAAAGTAAGCAGAGACCAGGTGATGAAAGCATTTATTCCATCCTGAAGGCCATGAGGGGGTCCTGAGGACTGAAATCAGAGTGGTGCCTTGATCAGATTTACATTGGAACCAGAAAGTGTGTTAAAGGTGAGAGCTGACAGAGGCTCAAAGCAGGGCAATGAAACTAGTGAGGTAAGTCACGATTGTGGCAGAGCTGTGATGGAATGTGGGCCTCTCCTTATTTTTTCCCTCTTCACTTTGATCCCAGTCCTCCTGCTGTCTTTTGTGCCCTACATTTCCTGTCCTTCTCTAGGTAACAGCACCCCAGTGGAGCCGGTGCATGTGCTGGGCTTGCTACATGAAGAGCTTCATGGCCCAGGCCCCGTGGGAGCATTGAGCAGCCTTGCTCAGGCTGAGGTGACCCTGAGTGGTGCAATGGGTCAGGCCTCTGCCCACATCCTCTATCGGAGGCCCCGACAGCGCCCGACCCATCAGGTCAGGAGAAGCATGAGATGACTGGAGGTTGGGGTCAGACAGAGGGTAGTCTTAATGGGAAAAGCAATAAAAAAAGGTGTGATTGAGCACTTCCCTGTGCTTTCATTGTTTCATCTTTTCCCTCATTTAATCTTCACAGCTACCCTGTGAGATAGATTGTTTTATTATCCTCATTTTACATCTGGGAAATGAAGTCCAGGAAGGTTTAAATTTAAGTCACTTACCCAAGGTTACAGAGAGTAAGTGGTAGAGCTGGGATTTGAACTCAGGATTACCTGACTCAGATCTTGTGAGTTTAACCAATGAAAGATACTGCCTTCCGGGAAATGGAAAAAGAGGAAAGACTGAGAGTAGTTACTGCAGGGAGAAGGAACAAGTCTATATGGAGAGGTTTGAAGGAGGGGTGAGATGTGGAGAACAGGAGCTGAAAGCAGCCAGTTGCATAGGTGACTGGGGGCTGAGGGTCAGTCCCGAGTTGTTCTCTCTGGTTTGTTCAGTAAGATGGAAAAAATCTTTTTGATACTCTTCTTTCTTCTCCCCAGACTCAATGGTTCTCCATCCTGCCTGACTTCAGCCTGGATCTCCGAAGGGGGCCCCCCCTAGAGTTGCAGCGCCACCCAGATCCTCACACCCCCCCGGTATCTAAAAGTGCCAGGGCCAGAACAAGGGAATGGAGTTTGGGGTCTGGCAAAAGGAGAGAGGAGAATAAAAACTGGAGAGGTTATGGGTGGGATCAGGGATGCCAGTGATGGGGCAGAGTGGCAGCATCCTTTGTACCCACAGGTGGACCCCACGACTCAACTGACATTTAATCTTCACCTATCCAAGGAAGAGAAAGAAGCCAAAGACAGCCTGACCCTGCCCTTCCAGTTCAGCTCTGAAAAGTAAGGTTGGGGCCTAGGTGCTCAGATCCCTGAGTAGAGCTGAGCATCCAGGCCTGAGAGGTGGGGCGACATCAGGTTATTGATTAATCTCTCTGACTTTATAGGGGCTGAAGTCCACTCCAGAGACAAGTCTGGGGAGTGGTTCTCTACCCACCCATATCCCATCAGTGGCAAAGGGCTTTTATGTCTCTTCTCTCCATTAGAGCCTTGGGTCCCAGCTCCACAGTTGTCCAGAGTAATCTGGGCCTCGGCTGAGCCAAACCAGACCCTGGGGAAGTGGCCCTGTCTCCAGGCAGTGGTGCTAGGACAGGAAACTGGATGGGTATGGCAAAAGCAGGTTAATAGGGCTTAGCAGATGCCTGTTGTTCTGTGCCCAGTGTGTGGGTGGGTGAAGCAAGACTACAGCAGGATCCTTGCCCTCAAGCTGCTAAAAACTTAGGGTATTATTAGGAGAGCGGTATAAGAGTATCTATCACAGTACTGAATGGTGCTTCAGTCCTAACTAAACAAGGAGGTCAGAGAAAGGGGCTTGGACCAAGAAAACATAGAGGCCAAAGAGGGAGTCATAGGTGCCGGCCCAGTGGCACAGTGGTTAAGTTCGCACATTCTGCTTCGGTGGCCCAGGGTTTGCCAGTTCAGATCCCGAGTGCAGACATGGCACCACTTGGCAAGCCATGGTGTGGCAGGCGTCCCACATATAAAGTAGAGGAAGATGGGCACAGATGTTAGCTCAGGGCCAGTCTTCCTCAGCAAAAAAAAAAAAAAAAGGCCTGGCAACAGATGTTAGTTCAGGGCTAATCTTACTCAACAAAACAAATAAATAAATAAAAATAAAAAGAGGGAGTTATAGTCACCAGGAAGAGGATATCCAGATATGACCTCTATTACCTACCCTTACCCTCACCAACTCTCCCCTTCTCTCTCCTCAGACAGCAGGCTCTACTGCGCCCTGGGCCAAGCCAGGCTACCAGCCGCATCTTCTATGAGCCAGATGCTTATGATGACCTGGACCAAGAAGACCCAGATGATGACCTAGATGTTTGACTGGACTCTAATTGGAAGGGGAGGAGGAAGACCTCCGGCTCATAACCATCCTTCCATTGGTCTTACCCTGTCCCTGCCCCACCTTTGTCAGCGTGTCTATGAAAGCCTTGCCCCGTGAGCCAGGGAGCAGCATCCAAGTAGACCAAAAGTGAGATGGGGGTGTAGGGGAAGGTGAGAGAATAGGAACTCCCCCCCAAAGCCTAATAAAATATTTTTTTATTAAAAAAGAAACTTTGGTAGCTATTTAAGCAAGAATTGGGAATGGAAGGGACTGGAGGATGGGAAGGGATGAGGGGAGCCAAGCACCTGAGTCTTCTATAGTCAAAAGTCAAAGTATTATATTAGGGCTTGAATATCAATGAAATTTGGGGGCAGAGATGACCTTGCACACTATTGGTGCTCAATAAGTGTCTTTAACTGAATTAAGTGTACTTTAGTTTCCAGGCTCCCTGCAAGGATCTGGACTGGAAGAAAGCAAAGGCCCTGAAGGGGGAAATAAAAGAAGCCTACTTTCCAAAACATACTGTTTATTACTGTACAAAAAGCACACCCTCCCCTCTTTTTGGCTCCCCCATCCAACCCCCCAGGGAACTGTACATGGTGTGCAGGGCTGGAGTGACCAGAGGCTTCTGCTCCGCACCCTGTCCAAGGGCTGAGTTGTCTACCCCAGGTCCTTTCAGGTGTCTGGGCACACCCATAGGCTGCCAGGCTGGGGCGAGGGGGTCCTAGATCACACGTACTCCTTGGCAGAGTTGGGCTTAGGGTAGGAGCGGGGTGCACGGTACCCAGCTTTGCTCTCACTTCCAGGACAGGAGCAAGAGAGCAGGGCACCTCCCAGGAGGACCAGAGCGGACCCTGCCCAGCCAATGAAGATGGCAGGACCAAACTCATACCTGTAGAGAGAGGAGAGTGGGGTCAGAAACCCTGGCCTGCCTCTCCTGACCCCAGAACTCCAGACCTGTCCTCTTCGTCAGGGCTCTCATACTTACTTAGTATTCATGGGGACCAAGGGGTTATAAAAGTCTGTGACGATCTGGTGGCCATACCAGGAGCAAGCTATCAAGGCAGCAAGACCTGGAGAGAAAATGAGGATTCACATATTCTGGCCCTCAAACCAGCACCTTGCCCACCCTGGCTCCTACAAGATGCAAGAGAGGAGAGCTCTTAGACTCGCCTTGGACCTGTGGCTCACCTGCCACGATGAAAATGATGCCTCCGGCCATGGCTATACGGGCCTTCTTCACTTTGTCGTCTCCCCCGCAGTTTGTACACTTCATGCCCATCGTGGCCACGAACATGGCCAGGAAGCCCAGCACCAAGGATACCACCATTAGGGCTCGGGTGGCTTGCATGGACGCTGCGGGGAAGCATGAGGGATGAAGGATGCCGTCGTTGCTGGAAATGCAGGCGGCACTCCAACGGCTCCAGCCTTCGAGCCGCCCACCAAACACAATAACTAGGCCCACTAAGTAGCCCGGCGCTGGATCCCGCCGCCGGCCTGCCCCCTCCCGCCCCGCGCGCCCCCACCACCCCGCACACAGATCTGCAACCAAATCCTGTGCCAGAGCTGGGTGGATCCTGCCCCCTCTCGACTCTGCAGCCTTCCTGCTCCGGCACGCCCTCTCTGCTCTAGGACCCGCCCGGGGCGCCAGGGTTTCGATGAAACTGCCCCAGGCAGGGGGAAGGGTGAAAGGGAACAGCAACAAGAAGCGGAGGCGCCCGCCGAAGCCCCCGCGCGGGCCGCAGGTTCCGGCCCGCGTCCCACCTCTGACCCCACTATCGGAGCCAGCGGGTTTGTGGCTTCGGCTAATCGGCCGATAAGATTAGAGGCCGCAGGCGGCGGCCCAAGTCTTACAGAGCGCACGGCTCCTCGGCCCTCGGCCCGACCCGGCGGCCTCCGCCCCGCGAGGCCTTTTGTCGGAGAGAAAAGGGCGGGAGATGGCGAGGCCCCTGCCTGCCCAGGGCGGTGGGGGAGGGGAGACCCCGGCCTAGGACTGGGCTACCCGCGGAGGGGCTTGGGCCGCCGGACACCAAGCCGAGGAGGAGGCCCGGCTGGGGGCGGAAGAGGGACGCAGCCTGCCGGCCTGCAGGCCCACATGCAGCCGCCGGAACCCCGGCCCGCTCCGGCCCAGCCCCACGGCCCCGGCCCGACCGCTTCCGCTTCCTCCTCCCCCGCCTGCTCCCCGGCAACCCAGGGCGTCGGGCCGTGGGGCCTTGGGCCCTGCCCCGCACCCCACCCCGCGACCTCGGCCCTGGGCGCGTCCGCCCCGTCGGTCCGCGGCCTTACCCGGCAGGGAGAGCACCGAGTCGTACATTTTGCAGCTCATCAGGCCCGTGCTCTGCGTGACGCAGTCCATCCACAGCCCCTTGTACATGGCCTGGGCCGTAATGATGTTGTCGCCCGCGTACGAGCTCATCTGCCACTGCGGGATGGCGGTGGCGGCCACCAGGCCCACCCAGCCCAGCACAGCCATGGCAAAGCCCAGCAGCTGCAGGCCCGAATTGGCCATTTCCGCCCTCGGAAAAGACTCGGGGCGCCGGGCGGGCGACCCTGCAGTAAAACAAACAAACCTTGAGGAGCAACCCCACAAAAGACAACTTGAGGTGGAGTTTTAAGTCACCCAAAGAGTCAAAAAAGTTTCTGGTCGAGTGACTGCAAGTCTTCTTGACACCCGAAGTAAACACAAACCGACCCCGCCGGCGGGGCGAGGGTCTCACAGCAGAGGGAACAGGCTACGCCCGGAGGACTGGTGGCCGACAGAAGCGATCCGCGAAGGCCAGGCGGTTCCCTCCCGCGCTCTCGGCGACCCTACCTAAACAAAAGGTGGAGGGGCTGTATGGGCGCGGTCCCGGGTGCTGGAAGTCCCCCAAAGTACCCTGGCTGCGCCCGAGGCTGCGGTGCGAGGGAGAGGCTGGTCAGCGGTCAGCAGGCAGGTGCGGGCGGACAGGTGCGGCGCGCCTGAGTATATGTAGGGCGTCGGGGGCGCGTCCCCGCGGGCACCGGGAGCGCGAGAGGGGGGGCGGTACTGGAGGGGCGGCCGAGGGTGACCTGACGTCACCGAAGGGACACTCACCTGAGCCGGAAGTCCTGGCCCCCACCCCTCCTTGCCCAGGTGAAGAGGAAGAAACCTGAGCACCAGGGTCACGCCCCTTCACTTGCCGGGCTTTGACCGCAGGTGGGGAGGTGGCGGAGGCTTCTCAGGAGTCCCCAGCTCGGAGTCAGCCGCTCTGGACTCGACTTCCCTCGGGCACCAAGATGCCCCTTCCCCTTTCCCCAACAGGTGCGCCCGGGACGCAGCAGAGCCAGAACGGGAGGGGGGGCGGGGGGCGGGAGGGGCGGAGGGGACGCCTCCGGCCAGCCTTGGCTCCGCCTTTCACCCCGCTAGGACTCTTGGTTTCTACTCTAGGCGCTCTTTGCCCCGCCCTACTTTCGCCCCCACCCTCTGCTCTCCTGCTGCTTCAGTCTCCTGTCCTAGCCGATCCCACCTTCAGGAGCCCTGGCTCCAATCCCTCACAACTCCCCACTTCAGTAGCCCTTTTGGAGTCTCCACTCCCAGAGCCACTGTCCCAGCACCCACCCGCCCCGGGCCCCTCTCCGTCGCCTTCCTGCCTCGCCCTCCAACAGACACCGGCTTCCAGACATGGGGCCCCAACACCCCAAATCTTCTTGACCCCCCATTCCGATCCCTGACATGATTTAACGCCTGGGCCCTTCACACCCCATCTCCCGGCGGTCACTATCCCCTCCCGCATCAAGGGTCCTTGTAGCAGAAGGAAAAAAACGCTGAGGCCAGAAGCCAGCAGAGGGTGGGGAGCAGGGTAAGGGCTAGGTCAGAGTCTTGGCCACACCCATCATTCCCCTCCCTTGGAGCCTTTCCAAACCTGCCGTCCACCTTTCCGTCTTCCCCCCTCCCCCTAGCCGTACACACATTTCTTGTTCCTTCATTCTGAGCCTGGACCTGCCTACTTGTGTGAGCTCTCCCTTCCTCTCCCGGTTCTGTCTACTCTAACGTCTGGCTCTAATGTGACCTGAGACACCCACCTCACCCTAAGGTTTCTTCTCTCCCTCTCCCCGAGCTATTGCCTATCTTTCCTCCAGACAGCTCTTCCAAGCATCTCCCATTTACTCATTCCTCCCTCATCTTTAATCACCTCCCCTTTCCTGGCTTTCCCGCTTCCAATTTCACTCCCCTCTTTTAGTCTACCTTGGCTCCCTATCTCCAGCTCCTTGGGAGGACGAGTATCGCCAAGTAGTCTTTCTCTGCATCTTCCTACGTGCACATCGCTGGCCCACCTCTTGCCCAGTTTCCTCCCAATCTATTCTTCTCCAACCTCCTCACACCTCTTGGACTCACACACCTTTCTTACTGTCTCTCTCATTTCATTTTCCTCTCTCCTTTTTTTACCTCAACTCTCTCACATTTACCTTCTTTGTTCCTCCTTCTCATTCTCTGTAAGTCTTTCCTTCTTTTATTCAATAAACTTATTAAAGGGCCCCTCATGCTAAGCTAATTAGCCTGCTTTTCTGTAAAATGCAGTCTTTAATGAACTCTTTATTATTAATTTTTATTGTTCTACTTTTTGATTAATGGTGAGGTTTTTTTAAAGTGCTTTCCAGCTCTCAAATTCCATGTTTTTCATTACTTGAGTAGATCCAACTTCTCTCCAAGCTCACTGCCACCACCTCAGGCCCAGCCACCATCACCCCTTGTCCAGACACTGGGACTGCCCCCACACCAATCTCCCTGCTTCCCCACTATTCTCCGGAGGGACCTTTTTTTTTTACAAACTTTGATCTTGTCACTTCCTGTTTAAAATTTTTTTTCATCTTCCAATGACACTCCTTTGTTCCTATTGCCTCACTGAATTTGGCAAATAAATGTCATACCGTGGCATACCAGACTCTGTGCTTCAGCCACCCTGGCCTTCTCTGTTCCTGAACGGTAACTAGCCTCCTTCCCACCAAAGCGCCTTGCACACTCTCTACTCTATGGCTGGATGCTCTTCTCCATCTTCCCCACCCACCTTCCTCCACCCAGCTAACCAACTCTTCCTTCAGCTATTAGCTCCACTATCACTTCTCCCAGGAAGCCTAGCCTGACTCCCCACCCCAGACTGAGTCAGATCACCTGCTGAATGCTCTCACCGCTACCTGTACTTATCTTTCAAAGTCCTTATCATAGACTGAAACTGTTTACTTCGTGTGGTTCTTTATTCAGTGCCAGTCTCCC